AGATACTCTATAATCCTGAATTTAAAAAGCTTAATTCCTCAAAACATGCAATAAATGAATGGAAAGATTTTCTTGATAAAGAAATGAGATATGTTTTGATTATCTTTATTTGTAAAGTTATAGAAAGAATACTATTATTTGATATGTTAGTAAAGACTAAAATATTCACAAGTGATATCCATGAGTCATAAGCAAGCAATTAACTCTACTTCATACTTTGTAAATCCATTTCATTGTATTAGGCTGCTTCTCTTAATCTGCCAAGCCAAAATCATGCAGTAAAAAATCTATGTTACCCATTTCTTATTTACTTTTTTAAATTGTTTTAAAAATTGATTTTTATTTTCCACTTTTATTCATATCTAAGTTAAAACCATTCTCTTCAAACAATTTTTTTGAGAACGTCAAGCAAAATTTAAAAACTATGTTTTATTGCCCTATGGGCTTTTGCTCAAGAAATATAAAGCCTTTTATATTATTGGTGGTAGAATTTACGGAATTCCTATTGATTTGTAGTACCAAATCGACCTTTTTGCAAAAAGGAGTATGCCATTTCATTCGAATTCTGTATTGTAAAGACAATACAGCTTCAAATATTTGATGATTAGTGATTTAATATCTAAGAGAAAATCAGCTTAACCTCCATCATTTCTTTCCTTATCATTAAATAAATGTAGTTTGATAATATAAATTCGATGTTTATCACTGAATTCTATATGAAGGAAAAGCAAGGTTTTTATTGAATTTGAAAGTGAATCCTCAGTAAGGCTTCATTAATTTAATAAATTAAATTTTTTATTCATTTCGTCAATAAAAATTATAATCCATCAGTTCTTTAAATTACAAACATGTATCTGCAATATTTCGTCTATTAATTTAATGCAAAAGTCTTATGTCTTAACCTATTTATCAGACTTAAACCAATTTTAATAATTTATAATAATAACACTTTACTCAATCAACAATTAATCAAGTTTGATATATATTTGAGGAAAGTTGATTTATATGATTGATAAATTCAGGAGTAAAACCACATTATTTATAAATAATCTTGATAATGTAATAATTTCTCTCAGATTTTTACTTTAACTAAATGTATATGATAAAGGGACCTTTTTCTTGTCTGAATATTCCTAAATGTATAAAATTTTCTGCTTCAGAAGATTTTTAAAGCATAAAAATCTTAATTATGCAAAATTTACTTTCATAGATAAATGCTATTGTGATTAGACTACTTTTTCTAATAAAATTATAAAATATTATCAAAATGAAGACATAGATTGATAATCTATTTAGATTAGAAGATAAATTAATTTTAACTCTCATATAAATTTTAACTCAAATATTTCACATTCGACAATTTTTGGTTGACCTTATCCAAATAAATAGCTTGTTTAGTTATTCACATATTTATCACATTAATATACAGTACCTAAAGTAGAAGAACCTGTAAAATCATGATTTATGCATATATCATAATTATAACCAAATATAGGCCCATAAGAATTGCAACCCCAAATAGCATATTATTTTTTATCTTATTGCAAAGGGTAAATTTTATCATGTGTTTATGAGAATAAAAATGATGATAAAGTGTCATCTTAAATAGCACACTTATTTTCCCATTTACATGGAGAATATCCACCAAAGGTATATTCACTCTAAGATTTAAATATCATAAGTAAATTACTTTTTTCGTCACATTTATTCCAAAATGAATTAGCATTTAATCCATCTCTGCTTCCATTATAAATTAATTGCGATTCTTTTATTGTTTTTTTTGATTTTTCTTATAAAATAAAGAATAATCGAATCCAAAAATCATCTTTTAATAATTTTGGTTTTATACTTTCAATGAAGGCTTATTTTTCAATAACAAATTCTAATGATAAAATCATTTCTTTTTTTATTTTTTCATTTAGAGCCCATATTTCTTGACCCAACAAATTCTTTACCTTTTCTACCTTTCTCAAATTAAAGTTTTTTTAAAGATTCCAGAAATTTAATTTGCCTCCGACGAGTATTTATACTAGTGTCTCTAAGTCAGTATTTGACAATTCAACTGGATTAGTACTGTTGTTAATGATTTCCATATATGTTTTCTCTTAAAGCTCAATCAAATCGTAAATTTATTTGATTGATACCTATAAATCCTCCCAAATTTTCTTCATGGTTATCTCAGTTTAAGAAATCACTGATTTTAAATTCATTCCCTATTTCGTAAGATCTAATGCCTCATAAGTCTCGGATTCTTTTTATTTCTTGACCACCATCTCTTGAAATAATTTAATCGGAACTATTTGCTTGAAATCCACTTCATGGTTATAAGCGCATTCTATACAAAGTTTCCTTTAGCATTAACACTTGTGAGAAGCGATACATATAGCGGTTATTGGATTTTGAATATGATATGTGCAAGACATTTTATTTATTTTTTTTAATTATTGGATTTCTATTACTTTTATATTAAGTTTTATATCGAAGAATCAAAAAATATTTTATTTAATAGTGCGAAATTAAAGCTAAAACTAAAACTTTTTGAAGATTTGGATTTGATTAATCTATTAAACTTTTCAGGGCGTAATCTTTCACAATGTTGAAAAAATAAATAAGTGAATTGGAAAATTTACTAATTAAACTGATTCATTTCATTTAAGTCTTACTTTATTAAAACTTATTTATTTGTCCCTGATCATAATTAATATAATTTATCTCACCATATATGTGTCAATTATGCTTGATTTATAAATTATTAAGTATTTTATTTAATACAAAAAGATAATTAATTCTGAAAAATTCTTGAATAGGTCTCTTTTAGTTTTTTTTAAATTTGAAAATTGCTTGATAAATTGCTTCAGAGTCACCGACTTTTTGTTCGATTCAAACTATGTTGTTCTGTATTTTATTCGAAATCATCCAACATTTTTAGATATAATCTCATTTTTTTTTTTATTTAACTTCTATATGAGTTAGAATTTTTTCAAATTATTTACTTTCATCTCCTTAAATTAAAGAAAAATTTCTTATTTCTTGGTCCTCATTTCTATATCATTTTTAATTAATTATTATAACTTAGAATAATATATATCCCTAAAGAAATAGTTATCTTAAAAAATTAAACTAGATAATGATTTCAAAATATCCGTATTTGCTATTATTTTTATGGTGAATAAGGTATTTATTCAATTTAAAGGTTTTATGTAGAA